AAAAACATGGCAGACAAAAATCTTTCTATTCTTGTAATTTAAAACAAAAATATCAATTTATTGGACTATTTAAAGGGTCTCTAAAAACACAAAAAACGAAATTGTAGTTGTAAGAAATAGGTTGAACACCTGTTCATTTCATCAATTCTAGTCATCTTTCAGGATGACTATAGTTTCGAGGCTTGCAATCATCCCCAAAGACGACTAAGATTGATGACATGAAATAGTAGATTACGCAACGATTGCGTAAAGATAGTGTTAATGACACGAGTAGAAAATGTAAGGTAAAAGCCTTGGCAAGTGTTTTTTCCGATGTTTGGCTGTTAACTTACAGGACACCACTTAAATGTATAACAAATAAGAAGTTATAAGGTTAAGGAACATTTTTACCTAACAAAAATGATTGCAGCTTTTGAAATGTGTTAATTTAAAGCATTTTAAGATTATACGGTACATATTTAGTCCTGCTCTTTTTGATAACAATTTAAAACAGTTAAGTACCATACAGTATCCTATACCTTACGACATAACAACACTTACCATTTCAGCAAAAATGTGTACGGTATGTAAATTGCCTTAACAGTTCTTAAACATTCCAGTGATTTAAAACTGTTTAAAATCATAAGTACTTTTATATCCAGCAAAGCACTGACAACCAGACCTACTGAGAACTTTAGGCATCATTCAAATGATTAATTGTTATCTAGGAGCCCCATCATCTTAGCCTCTTATCTCAACAAGTTCTTATCAATCACTTCACCTTCAATTCCTGTACAGTATAGATGAGTGTACGACTGATATAGATAGAGGCGGGTCTACCATATGGGCTAACGAGCTTAATGGACTCATAAACTTACACTAGAAAAAACAAGCTCAATCTCTAAAAAATCAAAAATTTTGAAAACCACGATAAAATAAATGTTGCACATTAGTTTTGCGTACATTCAAATTCAAATTTAAATTCTTTATTTACTCATCACATCTTATAATGCACAAGGTACAAAAGATTGGAGTGTCGTCAGAATATAAACTAAAACTAAAACTAAACTAAAAATAATAAAGTTAACATAAGTAAAATATCTCATATAACTAGAAAAGACCTTATCATTCAGCGTATCAGTTTAAAAATTATCCTTAAAAAACTCTTCTACAGTGTAGTATGGTTTTTGTAAGAGAAGTTTATGTACAGATGTAAGGGCTAAGTTTTTGGAATTATTTTTTTGTAAAATGCTGTACAATTTATTATAAACTTTTACTGCCATGTATTTTGGAGAGTTTTCATAGAATGAAAGCCTATGCGTACAAAACTCAAATGGGCTGATTAAGGTTTATGTTTTATACAATCCTTATAATTTAAAATAAAGCTATCATCCGCTAGAGGTTAAAGGACAATCTGACTTCTGTTGTAGTAAGCAAGCGTTGAGCTCAGCGGATTTTGACAGGAGAGATGCATAATCGAAGGGAGTCCATGATGCGATGAACTCGTCCATCTCTCCTGTCAAAATTACTGCTACTTACAATTCTGTCTGTTGTTTCTTGTCACTGTCACACACCCGTCAGTGCTCACACTATTTTCTAATAGTTTTGTGATTAAACATTCATTTTACAGCTGTGCGGTCAGTAGATAAGTGTGATGGTGTATTTTGGTGTTTAGGTTTATAGATCGTTTTCGATTTTTGGCTTACATTCGTATGTAGTTGTTCTGTCTTTCTTTGTGGAAATGGACAGATTTATTACAAAAAATAACCTAGACTGCAAGATAATGAGAGGCCACTGCTAGAGCTACTGGGAACTGGGACTCAACAACAACAATCAAGCACTTCAAATCCCAAAAGAATAGCAGACTTGTATAGCAATTGAAACTGATTACTTTTAAACAAGCAACATATGTATTTAGGTATTGTTATATTATCTATAAAATAATAAAAAAAAAATTAAAAACTTTCTTTGAATATGTATGCTTTTTTTAAATGTCCTCGTCCAGTGGTTGGTTTGGAAGTCCTTTTAAATAGACTTCACAAATATTTTACATATATCCAAGGCAATTTTTTTTTTAGGTTTTACACTTAAATTTGGTCTTGACGTCTTTTTGTCGTGGGCAGCCTTTGCACTGGGAGGCTGGATCAGTGGAGTCTATGGTTGGACATTTCCATCCAATTGGTTTACAGATAGGCCTACAAAGTTTTTTTGGCAAACTTTCAATACTATCAAAATTATAAATAATAAATTAAAATTTTTAAATACTATGATAATAAATCTGAGACAACACTACGCGCACGGGGGTACACTAGGGGGGGTCTGAAAACAGTACCGGTAACACAAGCAAGCGCCTGGGGGTATGCCAGACCCAGGATGGTGATAACAGGTCAATGACTTGGTCAAAACTAATAACGCTGCGGCCAGCTGATGGCATATGCTATTTTAGGTAGCTACTGTTATGCTCACCAGGGTTGCCACCATACATGTAATGTAAGCAAATTATCGTACGTAGGGGTAAGTCATACCTCTGCGCACGCGGTTAAGGTTTCAACTATATTTATTAAAATATTTAATTAATCACGTAGGTATGTAAGGAAATATTTAAATAAAAATCCAATTAGACAAAAGGAAAACCGTTTAGTCTACAGGTTTTTTGCCACAGGGTGAGGGTATTTTTCCCAATGGTCTTTTTGTTCTACAAAATGAAGAATATACATCTGGTTCAATGATGTATTTAATTTACTCTACCATACAAGAAAAACAAAGAACAAAAACTTAATATAACTACATGGTTAGTAGTAGGCCTACAATTTTATTCTAATAATCAATGGTAGGAATGTAACTTTTCTCTACACTGAATTTGAAGAGTCACATTATTGTACGTTAAGAAGTGGGAATAAAACAAATAAATAATATTATATTCTGTGCCATTAGAGTAGCTCCATGAAAGTTCAAAACAAACTACAAGTGCTTTATTTATAAATAAAGATATATTATTAATAATTTAATTAATAATTATAGGTAATTATTGCTTTGGTACTTAGCCTTTGTGAGAACTGGTAAAAATAAAAACTGCTAACATTGTTTTTTATGCTCATTCTAATTCATTCATTTACACAATTGAAAATAAATATCTTAACGATATTTAACGTAGTGTATATTTGTGGTATTGTTCTCCTATCTTGACCACAGAGGTACACAACACAGAACCACAAAGCAGGTGCATTGACCCGATTTATTGGTGGCAGAAGCTTCAAGGTGATTCTCTATCCTCTTCACTGCCTCTCACAATAGATGTTTTCTGAGATAGATCTTGCCTCCGATCCCCCACCATGTGATCAATGGTGACTGTTATTGAACCGACCAAATATAAAGCTTACCTTTGGTTACACATTAATAAAAAGAAGGCCTATCCCTTTGGTAAATAATGTCTTTGAGCAACCTCCAATCTGAAATTGTCTTCCCTGACATTATTAAAATTACAAAATGATAAAGTTTAGTTTATTAAAAAAACATTGATGATATTATTTTGAACAAGTTAAATTTTTTAAACAAATTACTAACACAGATGTGCAATAGAAAAATAATTTGCTAGGAAATTGTTTACACGTATCGAAATAGCAGTGACTCTCGATATTCTCTGAGCTAACAGCCTTATCTCACAAGTTGGATAAGATACCAGAATTGATTGTAGTGCTCTAAATTTCTCTCTAGAAGATGATTTACTCAATAAGATTACACTGTATACAGTGTGATTGAAAAGTCCTGGTACGGTGTAATATATTGTTAACCATTATAGACAAAGTAATGAGATTTGGTATATCAGTTACAGCCATAAACATCTACTCTTTATCCTCTTTTTATCCCTTAAGGGGGCAGACCACGAGGAGTCGGACAGATTTCTTAAATAGCAGCATAAGTAAAATTTGGTATCAAATTAAAGGTTTTAGTTAGTAGATCAGTCAATGGTAGAACACAATGCCACAAACCCAAACTCAAACGGACAATTGAGTCAAAAATTACTGCTGTTCAAAGATTCATGGAATTTGCAATGCTGTTAGTCCTATACTCTACATTCTCAGGGGGAACATGTACTCGCTCGGAACATTAAATCATTTTACAGAAACTTAAAAAGAGGAAGGAGTTACTTCTTTATACCCGTAAACAATTTGCAGTTGAATGTGTAATACATGGAACATGTAAAGATTAAATTAGACTTAGAATAGGGCTCATTTAACATGCAGCATATTAAAACTTTGAACAGCAATCACTTTTTCAGGATCATCCATTTTTCATTTTTATTATGTCGTGTTTGTCTCATCAAGACCTTTAAAATGATATGCATAACAACCCATGCTTACATTTAAGATTTTTCACTGACTCCTGACGGGTCGTCCCCCAGAGGAGGTGAAAAATCAGATATATTCTAAAAAGGTAGTTTTTTATACCCATAAACAATTTGCAAAGTTTCAATTGTGTAAGTGGAACCTGGAAAAAGATATTGGGTTGTTACGGGACTTTTTGCCAACCCTGTATCGTATAAAATACTGTATTTGGGTTTTAAGGGTGTAGTTTACTGGTCAAAATACTAGTAATTACAACAAATAATTTAATTTTTATGATATAGAGGTTTTATAACCTAAATTAAAATTGCACTAATTGTGTATGACCAAGTTTAACAGTGTCTGCAAGTGCAAGTACAGTAACTTTAAAATGTAAGCTTTATTTTAAATTGTTTATGATGCCATAAAATACCTATTTTTTTATATGGGAAGCTTTATTTTTGATATTTTGAAGCAATCATGCATTTCACTTTTTCATGAAAAACTTTACTAAAAAACCTTGAAACCTATGAGTTTGGAACTTGACACGACTTATAGTTTTACTCCTCGTAAACCCCTACTTTCCACTAACACAGAATAACTCTTACTTATCTCTAATTATTACAGAATTACACAAAAGCATGTAGTAACCAAAACATCGCTGGGATAGGATGCAAATCACAAAGTCAGCATTGTCAGAAATCTGTATAATATCTTATATACACAAAGTATACATATAATGTTTGTTTACATTGAATGATAAGAGGTTTACTTCATCTAGGCATCTTGGCTTCCTTGTATTTGATGAATGGTATGAGGTTTGTCATAACTGTTGAAACGATTGCATGATGTTCACCAAGGGTCTTACGTTCCTGCCGAACCTAAAAAGTTTTTTATGAGTCTTAATGTAAATTCTTTATTCAATATATTACTGTAGTTAATTATTTTGAACAAATAATATGTGGTATTAAAACATATCCGTTCATTTTGGGGATAGCTCCATTTAGTTCTTACAAGAGTCCAATTTGGGTGCGCTACTTTTCACAAAATATGATTTTTTTAATTTAGCCTATTATTATTTAGGGTAGATTGTACGTTATGTTCTTTGCGTTTCTAATTATCTATCATAGAACAAGCTACATAGTTTATATAGTTATATATACATTGTTGCATTTTTATTCTATAAATTTATGACACAATCTATCGGACTAGCTCTGGCAAAGTTGTAGAATTCAAGTATTTAAGTACTGGTAGTATGTAAGTACATAAGTATTTGGACAAAAAGTTGTTAAAGTGGTTGAATTACAACAAGAAAAAGGAAGTAACAAATCACACACTATTTACAACCAACAAAACTAAAAGTAATGTCTTCAGCTAGTTATTAAGGAAGACAAATTCTATTAGGAGTATGTTAATTTGTCCACTTGACGCTCCATCCACTTGGAGCACATTTTTTACTATAAAAAACTTAGTAAAATGAGTCGCTCACAGAGAGTGCTAATGTCTATATTTACCTTTGTCCTTTAGTTTTTGAGGCCTATTAATATACTATAGTTTATAACAAATGTTCCTTTCAATTTGGCTAGGTTTTGTTGGAGTATTTGACAGTAATCAGTCATTTAAATGAGCGCAACTCACTCTGTAGACGACTCAATTAATTTACTGAAAGTTCTTTTTTCTTTTTAAAACTGGCTTAAAACATTTGACATGCGAATAGCATATCTATCCACAGACAAATGTTCCATCAACAAAAGTCCCAAAATATCTAAACAAGAGGGAGTCAACTTTATGCTGCACTGCGACCAATTTAAGAGTAGTCTATTAACAACATTTTACATCGGAAGAACTTCATTTGATTAAGATTTACTGTTTTACAATTTGAAAACAAATGAATAGAAACTGCTCCCAAACTGCATTACCTTAGCCTTGAACCGATGTGAGATCGTTCCGAGCCGAATAACTAGCTTGATCTCAATGGCCGCCGCGTCGGTACAATCCTCCGCGAAGAGATCCAACAAAGCATCGAGTGCCTCAGCAATCAACCACAAAGCTTTCTGGTTCTCCACAAAATTCATCAAGTAGTTCCCTATAGTCTGCAACAGAAAACAGTGTTCAAACATTTTGGCGTGAGATGTTTAATGTGTTTTTAGGTTTTCAAACCATTGGCTTTCTCCATACTCCATTCCAAGTTCTTCTGTACAATACAGAGCGCCCTTATGTAATGTATTCCAAATGGAGATTCTGGTGATGGTCGTTGTAAAAAAATCAATATACACCAAATATTCTTACTTTTTACTTTGAATAATTACTTTTAGATTGTTTTCAATCAAGTTATGTCGTAACAGCATTCTTAAGTAATATATGTTGAGTCCTGGTGTATACTAAAAGACACCAATTCTGACATTTTTTGCAATTTTGATTGGATTGCAGGTTTGCCCAGAGTTTACCTGCTAAAATTGATTTCTCACCATCACTGACAGCATTTTCAACCAAGAAAAATTTAAGGGTGAAAAAATATTGCTTCAAACCTCTTTGGCGACCTTTTGACCTGAAGACATATTTCTTCTAAAATTCATTTAAATTCAAACCTTACTTGGTTGAAGGTACACTATGTCATTGTGAGTGGGATGATCAATGTATTTTTTGTATTATAAAATTGTCATGTCTGTAGTGTAAGGAAAATGTTACGTCCAAGTTAGTCTACTATCACCAAAAGTACTTCAAAACTAGCCCTTTATGCCCTATGTTACAACATTAACCTTCTGTAAGTAAAAGCCAGAACGTGGTAAAGTTAATAATGAAAAGATGAAACCAATATCTGCAATAAACCTTTTAACAAACAGTACCTTAACCAGAAAAGTCTCGTTGTTAAAGATGATTCCCAGAGTTCCTGTGCTCCTGATGATATTAGCCTGTACTCGGGGCTCAGGGGATGTTCCAATCTTGAACAATGTCTGCAATTCAATAATAAAACAGTTAACATTACCTGGCTACATAAATTGTACCATAAAATATATCTCAATTTTGTTGAGTGAAATTTTTCAACAAAGACTGTTTAAAACCTTACATAATTTTGAAAATCGGTCACAATTTATAGGGGGACAACAAAATGTAAAACAAAATACCAAAAAACTTTAAGACAATCCAATTAACTCAAATGTTTCAAAAGTGTGTCTATAACTTTCTAATGATGATTGCTATTGTTTACTTTACTTATTTTTTAAAGGATGTGTTTGGCTGAGTTTTGTCTAAACTATTCCTATGTCCTAACTACCGAGACCGAACCATGTTTGGAGAACCAAGAATTCTAAATAAGAGAATCTTTCTAATAATACCAATGTATCGATGGCAAAATCGTCACAATCTTAGTTAGCGTTTCTGTAGTTGCGATCTTGAAAGATGTTGCCATTATAGCACGAGAGATGATGACAATGTTACTGCAACATTTGTGTGTATTGTAATGTAAGCTTCAGCATTATTAATGGATTCATTATTAACTTGGCCAACCATTGCAGTTATATTACTGCATTTACTGACATTTAAGTTTATGTTATACATCACCAGATTCACCATTGTTTGTGGTGATATTGCAAATATTGCTGACATTCGTGGAATCACTGAATTTGTCACTGTTCTTGGAGACAGCTTTGTCGACATTCGTGACATTATAACTTAATTCTTTCTAGGAAACATTAGGCAACATGAATAGCCTTGCTAATGTTTGTAGAGTCATCACTAAAACCAACAATGTTCTAGGCAGTATTGCTAACATTGTCAACAGTACATTGATATCGCTAACCAGTTTGGAAGAAGTTTGGGGCTATATTGGTAGCTCCTTTGACGTTCGCTGTGACATTGCAAACTTTTCCGACATTTACAACATCACTAGTTTCAAAGTTTGCAGTGATGTCATTTTTTACAAATTTAACTTGATAGGAACATTTACTTGATTCATTTTACAAAATCTTTTTAAGAAAGGTTAAGTTAAGACAAGTAACAATGTTTTTACCTGGATAACGTCGTCATTTACAACTTCCAGACCAGAGCACTTTTCGGCTGCGAGTCTCAACAATATAGATCTGATGGCAGCAGTGACTGCTTCCAATAGCTCATTGTCAACACCTGTAATTAGATGAAAAATGTTCATTAGATAACAAATGGTTAAAATATAATACACACTGCTATTTAAGGCAGAAGGGTCGTGGTACTAAGGGATTTTCTTAGGATAGCAAGCTTACCTGAATGGGAATGAGTTCACTCTAGCACAGGAAACACAAAATCTATACATAGTTTTCAATATCTTAGAAATGTATAAAAATAAGCCCTCATATGCCGGTGTAAAGTTTTTAAAGATAATACCAAATGAAATAAAAGATATTAAGGATAAAAAAAAGTTTAGACAAAAACTTAAAGAATTTTTGATAGAAAACCCCATCTACTCAATAGATGAACTGTTTCGGATACTATTTTTTTCAAACTTTTACTCAAACAAACTAATTGCCAAACATTGTACAACAAAATAAAGAACAGAACATTAGAAAGTCTAGTAAGCTACTGCTAGTCATAGGCTACTGCTACGCTGTTTCAGGACAGAAGAATGTTGATCAAAACATTAGATAACGCATAAAAAAGTATAAATTAATTTTAGCCTATTTATAGCATAACAACAGTAGTAAAATACACAATAAAGATAACAATAATATAAAAACATTGCTTATTCTTTCTCTTTGTTCTTCTTTCCTTTCTTAAGTTTCACTTCATCCCTCCATTCAACAAGTTGCCATGGTTACTAAACACCCAATCACAGGCTACTAAAGTTGTCATGATTACCAAATAACCAATCACAAAATGTTGTGACATAGCAAGCGCACAGCAGACAGATGTGTCGTGTGTAGGCCTAATGAGCAGACGATTGTCAGTGCAAACGGATAGCTTTAAAGACCTTGAAGCTTTGATCGGCATTCCTTTGTTTTGCTCCATTTTATTTTTGTCAAATGAACTGTGATTTTCCAAAAACAATAATGTGGGAGCCTACTTAATATTAATAATGGGCAGACATGGTTAAATATACAACGAATTTCAACAAATTAGACTAAAAAAACACAATTTATAAAGTTTTCTTGGACAATGAGGTTATGTTAGCGGAAGCCTATTGTGTTGGCGGCATGGTCGGACCAAACGAGGAGTCGGACCATCAGAGGTTGGATTAGCGAGGTTCTACTGTACTACGAATTGTGGATATTTATAAAGGCACTATGGATGCGATGCTCCCTGGTGTGTATTTACGTCTAGCATCTTAGAAAAAAAAAACCTCACCAGGAAATGCCGTGACAAGCTACACTCAACAAACCGTTTTGAAAGATTAAAGTTGCACTGTACCTGGAGAGAGTGGATTTACACAGACTTCCTGAGAGAGGATTTGTCCAAACAAAGCATAGAGGTTTTGAGCTCCTCCCAGCATCTCTAGTTCCACCACTTGGACGAGGTTGTTGAGACACAGATACGCTCGGCATTGCAGTCTGACCAACCTGAACACAGAAAAGATTTTCATTTTGTTTCATGTATGCCTCCAAATCACTGATTAAGGGTGAAATCGTTTAAATTGCTTTATCTGCCAAGTGATCCAAAATCTTTGAAAAGTTACCATTTTCGATTTTCTTTTCATTATCGCTTATCTTCTTCAGAGGAATGTTTTTTTTCACTTTTATGTTGTAGCATTTTAAAAACATTGAGTTATACTTATTCACAACATACACAGACACACACAAAACAAAGGTAAAACATTTTGGCAAATATATTTTTATTGTAAGATGTTTTTACATGTATTTTGTGTGTCAGTAGTTTGTATGTACGTTTATAATTGTTTTCAAAAACTGTCAGAAGAATATTTAATGATTGTGTTTAATCATCAAGTAGAGTGTATACATTTTATTTAAATTAGCATATAAGGTAATTTTAACTAGTTAACACAAATCATTTATTAAGTTACTAAACACAACAGGCAATAGGTAAAAGAAAGAGAAGTACAGTACATAATAAGGAAATATTTTATGGCCCCATATAATTTACTTTACATAGATTTTATTTTTAAAGGAAAGCCAAGTGGCTGATTAGGATTTTGAAGGGATTCAGTTTAGCCACGAAGAAGTAAAGTACAGAGGAAACACGCTTATGGGACAACTGTGGACTTTCAGTTTTGGTTTGTTGTGCTGGAAATATACTTGTGGTGAGCAAGGAAGAGCCCGAACAGAAAGCACTGAGCGAAAATCCCAATTGCACAGGGCACAAGATCTTCCTCCACCAAGAGCGTTGTAGTACATGATGGCAAGGGGGGGGGGGGTTTTGGACTTTTTCCGGCACTTAGTGCTACATAAATTTCAACGACTCTTGGTAACAGACACCAATTTTCTTATCTGCCTCTTCCAACATAAACAGTTCCACAACAATGCTGTAGGTTTTGTAGGGGTACCTTACTGGCTAAATCTTAGTAATACCACTTCTGTGTACCGTTCCACTGTTGGTCACAGTTGTTATCACTAAAAGTTTTTAATTGACATTTCTTTTAACTCTACTCTAAAATGAAGTCTCCTATATTACACAAAATGGCAGTGTGATCACATTGTGACCTTATATTGTGCTATTCACCCAGCCTATAGACTAACTTTATCTAGTAAGCCAGCTAACCCACAAATTACAAAGAGCTTCACTTAACAAGGGGTTTTAACAAGGGGGTAATAACAAGGGGTTTTTACAAGAAGTAGTCTAGATTTCCTGCTGAAAAGTATTTCCACAAGAGTATCAATGGTGTGATTAGTTTAAATTATTCATCTACATTACTGCTAGGTATGAAATAAACTATACTCTCGTAATCATAAAATAAAGAAAACAAAGGCGAGCAAATTAACTATGACAAACTAGTTTTGTGTAGGCCTTTATAATATTTTATATTTTGCTAATTACCTCTTCATTAGCTTTATTGTGGCAGGACAGTTACTCAATATATCCATAACATTGACTGGTAGAGGTTCAATCTTGCTGAGGACTAAAGAAATCATTTGATGTTTCTCTAAGCCTTCATGAATCTGAAAAAAAATTTTAAAAAATTAACTAAATTTTTAAGTGTTGTAAGAAAATGATCTGATAAAGGTTTTACGCAAGAACTAAGTCATATTTTAAAGCAAATAGTGAAATAGACTTCTATTAATCAAACTACAGGGTTTTTTTTCTTTTCTTGCTTTTTAGCGAATTTTCCATATAGGGAATAAGCTATTACCGTAGTACAGTAGAACTCCGATTATCCGAATCAATAGGGACCATACCCCATTCGGATAATCAAAAATTCAGATAATCGGAGTTTTACCGGAATTCCGGAAATTTTAAAGAAAGATCCTCATTTTCAGTACTTAGTGAACTTTATATTAATAATCATTTAAATCAGAACATTATTACAGTTTACAATGCTCATAGTACAAGTGTTCTATACATGTTATTAAGTCAATAGTGTTCCATCAAAGTCCAAAATTGGCTAAATGTGTTTAATAACAATTTTTTGATATTTTGCAAAACTTGTTACTGTAGCTTTACGTTTTTAAAATTGTTGAAATAAGCGATTCGGATAATTGGAGATTCAGTTAATTGGAGTTCGGATAATTGGAGTTCTACTGTACTCATGGTAAGACCTGGACGCGGGACCGATTTTTTTTTTCGTTTTGAGGTCCCTAGAGGCCAAAAACACCATCCGTTAAAATTCATATATATATATATATATTTATATATTTATATGTTTATATATTTATATATATATATATATATATGTGTGTCCCTTAGCACGATAACTCGAGCAAAAATGATCCGATTTTGATGAAATTTGGTACAAACGTGTAAACCTACGTTTATTCGAACGAGTTCGCGATCCAGCTTGATCGGACCATGGGAACGGGGGTTTACGGGGCGTTTTATGGGGTAAAAATAGGTTTTTTCCCATTTTTGACCCAAAAAACATAAAATTTAGCAATTTCTTTCCAAACCATTTTGTAGAGCTTAAAAAAACAAATAATTTAGTATATTGAAGTGTTATTATGCGCCTAATGGTTACGGAGAAAATTCCAAAAAATTGTAAATTTAAAATTCCTATGTTATTCTTATGGAGGATAAGTAAACTGTTGTAGTTTGCTTGTTTATGAACCTATTTTGATCAAATTTGGAAAATGTTTTTATTTCTTACTAACTATTAACATTTTACAAAAAAAAAAAAAAAAAAAAAAACAGTTTTACCCTCCCTGATGCAGCAAACCTAAGTACTTGTTAAACTAATTCTATTTAAATAGGTAATCTTACTAATATTATAAATGTGAAAGTTTGTGTGTTTGTTTGTTTGTTTGTTTGTTTGAAGTTCAATCACGCATAAACCACTGGACGGATTGGGCTGAAATTTGGCATGATGATAGCTTACATTCCTGATTAACATATAGGCATATTCTTATCTCAAAAATCCTTTCGGGCTCCGCCCCAGTGGCTCTGTAATTTCCCATGTTAACCTTATGAGTATTCATATTTAGGAATTAAAGAATTTAGTCAGATGTTTCAACTAAAAAAGTTGGTTCTATGATATGGAAAAGCATTAAAAAGTTATAAGATTTACCAACAGGGTGCAGCACTATATTTTTTTTGCATTTATGAAAACAGCTAATTTGAACTAAGCAGCAACAAAAAACGGTGATTCGCAATGAGAACTGTCAAAGTAGGATTGTTTACAGTTATGTTTATGTTTTTCATTTCATGAATAATTTGTAATATCCTATTTTGCGAATTGTTGATAATTTATTTTTCTCTATTGTTTAGGTGAAGTGGTAGAACATTATGGCTATAGTAGATGTGTAATACTATAGAATACTGTAAATTTAAAAAAGCAAATTGTATCAAACTGTGTCCTCCCTTATTGCAAACGCATAGCTTGAGTGTAACTGCAATAAGTATTTTATACTTATATTCCAACCCCGTACGAAGGACGGGTATTCTGCTAGTTAATGTTATATTTTTTAGTAGACATTTCAGTGTAAATCCAATCAGTCAAATGGAAATTCGCTTAGTCTGCAGGTTTGCTGCGGCGGGGGTATTTATTTATCTAAAAACTGCAATAGATAGAAATATGCAGTTTGCGGGAATCATCTAATGATGTAGAGGCCACAATTATTGTGAATTCAACGTTAAGTTCCCTTTCACCCCCTTTATGTGTGTGTGTTTTTTTTTATTATTGAACAAGCATGCCAGCTAGTCACACTTTTGAAAAATGATTGTTCAATTAAAAACATGTAAAAAATCCTAGAAATTTTACAAATTTTAGAAGTAAGGCGATTTAAGGAGTGCGATTTTCGAAAAACTTGGGAGAATGTTTTGTAGATAATCCCTTTTTGTTTG